CCGGCAGCTTTATGAAAACATCGCGCTCAGCCATGTTCGTTAATTTTCCGGAAACTTTCTCGGAAAAGTCAGGGTCACCAGTGTAGTGCCGTGTGAAAAGAGAGTCGGAGGCGGTGTATTAAGAATGGAGTTTCAATCTTTATTATCCATTACTTTCAGAGAGGTTAACACATGCACTGCTCTGCCTGATGAGCTAGCAGGAATGGCAGCTAAAGCTACAGGTGTTCCCCACTAAAGGGTCCGTGTGGCAACACAATAAGCAAGGTGAATTATGTCCAATAACGTGTCACCACAATATCAGAAAACTAGAAATGTATAACTCACCTGACACTGTGGCGTGCTTTTCTCTTCATTCGAGTCTGTCATGTCCTGTACATGTCAACGATAGATGTGTAATAAGAACGTCAACAGCCTGATGGCAACCGAAAATCCCTCTCTCATCTCAGATAGAAGATATGATTGGAGACGACCAGCCAATCAGAATTGACCTTCTCGAGTTCTCCAATTGGTTGGTTTTGTGGCACATTTGTAACGCTGTGACAACTTGAGCGAGCGCAGGCAAAGCTGAGCGCGCGCAGGCTGGAGAGGTCGAGCGAGCGGGGGAGAGAGAGCGCGTGCAGCGGTCTGCTTGCGCACGGAGCAGGAGTTTTACGAGAGAAAATATATTTCTCTGTGCTCAACATTTTTCAAGTGCGCGCTCAGGATAGAGGCACAAATATAACGCCATATGCTGCGGCCATGCAACTGTCAGTCTGAGCGCCTGTGAGTACTATGGGAGGGAGGCGGGGCTCACGGCAGCACCCGCGGCTCGTTAACTGCAGAACAATACGTGAGTCTCCAAACACCAGAAAAGTCGCTAATAACTAGGGATGCACCGAATATTCGGCCACCGAAAATTATCGGCCGAAAATGGTTAAAAAGGCCCTTTCGGCTTTCGGCCTCTTATTGCACTTATGGTAACAAGTATTCTCCACATCGAGACGGGTAAAGTTTAACCACACCTCGGAGCGCGTTCTCTCCGCCATCTCCGCAGTGTGCTCCGCTGCATGTAGCAGCTGCGTGTGTGTAAACTGCCCCGCCCCCTCGCACACAGACGGGGGAGAGAGATCTCGTCTGATCGAAAATACATCATAGACGCATTTGTTGTCTTTGCATATTAGAAACGAGTTGGCGACACTAAGACTGCGATATAATGTTTTTTAGCAATAATACATGACATATATAAATGTACTGTATGCATTCAAAAGTGCTGAATAAATGTTTTATGGACCCATAATAGTGATTATTATTTAAGTAAAGTTTTGCCATAATCATGTCTATTTCCATAATCAGGTAGCTGAACAACATTGGTAAAAAATGTTTACATTATATATATATATTTCTATTAATCATTTTCGGCCTTTCGGCATTCGGTTTTCGGCCAACTGTTTCCTATTTTCGGTATCGGTTTCGGCCAAGAATTCCCCATTCAGTGCACCCCTACTAATAACACCATTATAAATCGTTAGATTAGTCGTTAGTCGCTTTTGACACAAATAAGTAGCCGGAGGGTTTGGAAAGCCGCCAAAATTTAACGAGAAAACCGCCAAGTTGGCAACACTGCCTGCTGGGGGAGAGCGTCCTGCCAGCTGCTGTCAATCAAACACAGACGGTACCCGCCCCTCCAGCGGCTCAGATGTAAGGAGTATTTCAGTTGTTTAAACAACGTTATTTTTGATTATAACAAATAATGATCAACGACACAATAATGACTAAATGTCTCTTCAGTTGCACTCAATTTCTAAAGATATATTTGAATAAAACCACCTTATTTTACCTCAATTTTATACTAAGGAAATAGTAGGCCTACTGACATGTGGGTAATCCAGAGAAATTTGAAGATTGTTTTTGAAAGGGATGTTGCAGTTGAATGATTTGTTTTTATTGAAATGCTGTCAACACCAACATTGTTTAACATAGCAAGATACATTCTCAGAAATTGATAACTTAAAAAATAAAAGGCAAATCAAAATCAAACTAGCATGACACCATTAGAGTTCCCCTGTGTGATTGATAACAGACATTTTGGTATGTATTGTTATAAAACTTGAAGAATGTCAAAGGCCTGCTTAGAGGTAATGGCTAAACATAAGATCCTTTTACATAAATGTAGCATAGAGCATTGATTAACACTGATTATGAAACTTTAGACTCTGGGTCCACAAAGTAATTATTTTACCACATAACATTTACTCCTTCTTGGAAACACAGTAAGGCATGTTTCCAGCTGGCTTCTGTCCAGTTTATCAGCTTCATCTGTCCTGGGGGTAAGTCATTCCTGATCATATGGTCAGAATGACCAGCAAGTCATTAAAAACAGAGGAAACCACAGTTAATTTTATATTAAAATCTGAGGTGCAGTTTTGTTAATAGTAGGCTTGAATAACCTTGTTTCTAATTATTTTCATGATTCATTTGGAAAAATTGTCTTTTCACACCACTAACACTTGTAATGTTGCAGCCATAAAATTGTCATCTCTCAGGCGTTACACACTTTACCTTTAATGTATACTGTAAATGGAAAGAGCATAGAACACATTATGTGATGCTTCAAACTGTGTAGGAAGTACTTTAAAGCTCTACTTTAAGGGGAAACAAAAAAGAGAATTATTCATAACTTCAGGGCTTTGGTTGTGGTGATTACATTTTGTATTTCCTGCTATGTTGTATACTATGTAATATGAAATATTCATCTATTCATTGATACTTGTATTTGACCCATACGGTAGAATGAGCTTCAGATATCCCTAGCTTAATCTCTGGAGCGTAATCCCTACAGATCCATTAATGCCATGAAAATCAGTCTTTTTTATGTAACTATCAATTAAAAATAATAATAATCTCCACTTCATGATTATAAATGGACCCACTTGAGGCACAATATTTTAAGGAGGTGTCAGTAATCCCCCACAGACTGCTGTTCCACAAGGGTAAAGCCAGTCTGCCCACCTCCATGCAAGTATTACAATTACTTTCTAACTCAAAAATCATAGAAGAAATTATATTTTAGCAACCTTCAGTTGTTGTTGCAACTATATGGCAATTTAAACCTTTAGTTTAATATTCGCCAACATTAAAAGTATGTTTCAAGCCAGACAGTTTGTCACAGTTTGATTTTCATCAGCAACAATCCTGACTGATTAAAATGACAGCATGGCTCTATTGCCAAAGTCTTTCACATCCACCCAAGGCCCAGATAATTAAAACCCACCGGCTATATTGGTCTACACACTATCAAATAAGCCTGCCTTTTGTCAAACTAATAACATGAGCCTTCCATTGTGTCCGCCTGTTTTGATCATTACCATGGGGATCAAACAAACAGAACTGGGTGGAAGGAAACATAATGAGCAGGAAGCTGAATGCATTGTTATCGCCTTTATGCATTAAGGAAATTCATAAACTTTTCACATAGAATTATGGTGAGAAGTCAAGGAAAGCTGGATGCATTGGTAAAAGCTTTTCTTCTGCATTTAAGAAAATATTGACAAACTATTTGTATTTATGCTTTTATATTACAATACTTTATTTGAGGGAGATGCACTACATGTTTGTTGCTCGTGAACCTAATGTTTTTCCTGAAAATCAGCCATGACTATAACACTTTTTCAATAAACCCAGTGCTTACTTTATGCAGTTATGCCAAAACATATTAGTTTGTACAATATGTTGTCCGACAGAGAAGTCAAAGTAATGTATAACCTGGTGCTACAGTGCTCACCTGGAAAGGTTGGCCCTAAAGGCTTTGTCCCTGCCGCCGTAGCCCGGATTTGAATCTGACCTGACTTTGCTACATCTCATCCTCTCAATCTCCCCCTTTCCTGTCCATTTTCAGTATTTTCAGTGTCTGCTATTTATTAAAGTGTTAAAGCCCAAAGAAATATTACAAAAAAATCGTGTTTACAGGTTTTCTAAAGGCCACAGTTGCGCTGAGAAGCCATACGTCAGGAAGAAGGACATTACATTATTGTTGTGTAAATATGGGGGTAAGGGTCAAACTTTCACGGACTGTTTCCTAAAAAGTCTTTGCACATCAAAAAAGAGAAGTCGTTTTATAAATAATAAAAAAAAGAGCTTTAAAAGAGAACTTCAATCCCTGTTTTCCTTTTGGATTGGATTTCATTTCTACATGTGGCCTAATTTGAGAGGGGTAGCTCAGTTTGAACCAAACAAGAGTTATCATCAACACTGCAGTCCCCCTCAGCTCCACTGAGGGTTTAAGCCTCTTTCAGCTCATTGTTTTGGTTTTGGTCCATGGTCCGCACTTTACAGCTTCCCTAAACATTGTCTCATAAAACACTTGTTTGTCCAGCACCAGGCTGAAAAGTGAACAACTACCCTGGTGAAAAACAGTACATCATTCAGCAGCCGTAGAACCAGATGTTTCTCCGGAGTTGGTGGAGACCAAAATCAAGCTAAATGGGGATTGCATTTTGGCCACAGGAAACACAGCTTCCAAATGATGCCTTTTCTCTACTGTATGTGTACAAAAGCTGTAACTATTTGCTTTTTTAATTGTGTAAATGTTATGTTAGCTTGTACTTGCCGAATTGGAATAATAACAATTGTATAGGTTCCAGTATAGGATCTGAATTATTCTTGTCATCACTGTTAATAGGCTGTATACTCTGACACCATAATGCTTAAAAAATGTCTAGCATAAGCACTCCAGGGAGGCATAAACATGATTACTTGGTAGTCTACACAGTAAAATCTGGAGTGTTAATTTAACACTCATAGATAAGGACCATCTAGAAAATATTCTATGGATAGGCCTACTTATTGCTCTAAACCAAAATAGAGCAATAATTAACACTTAAAGGGAGGGATTAACAGAGTTCATTTTAACACTGAGCCAGTGAACATATCTATGAGTGTTAAATGAACACTCCAGATTTTACTGTGTACCTGTGCATGTGTCTTCTGTGTACATTGCTGTGTGTGTCCTCGGCCTCTTGCAGGGGGCGGTCATGTAGACTTTGATGATTTCTGCGAGTTAATGGGGCCAAGGATGCTTGCTGAGACTGCTCATATGGTCGGGTTGAAGGAGCTCCGCTGCGCCTTCAAACAAGTAAGCCAGGGACTCAAAAGAAGACTGATTTCAAGCAGGGTACTGTGACAAATCAAATCAAGTTTTATTTATATAGCACATTTATAAACGATTTTTGGTCGAGCCAAAGTGCTGTACATAAAATAAAAATAGCCTACAGTAGAAACACTTTACAGCAAATACAACAGCACAGATTGTTCAGAATATCAGTATGAGAAAAACGACACCCTCTGTCCTTAGACCCTCACATCGTACAAGGAAAAACTTCCAGAGAAAACCCCACAGTTTAAGGGGAAAACATGGGAGAAACCTCAGGGAGAGCAACAGAGGAGGGATCCCTCTCCCAGGACGGACAGACGTGCAATAGATGCCGTGTGTAAATCGAAGAGATAATACATTTTACAGCATATAGACCGAATGTTAGGAAATGCATGTGTCTGTAATAAGAAAGTGACAGTACTTTGAAGTGTGCAACATGACCTTTCCTTAGAGAGTATAAACATACGGCTCTTACGGGTAAACAAGTCAGAGGGGGAGAGTGTTAGTGAGCCATTAATTAATGCAGAAGTCAAACATTTTGACGAAGGAAAATATCAAAAAATGATGATGTTTTTATAAAGTCTGGATCCTGCCACATACATTGCCACCCTTTATATTCTACACTTATTTGACTCACCTGTTCATTTGTGGATCAGTAACCTTGAGGAACTATTGAGTTCCTCTCTTTGACGTGAATGCAGTGGTATTACTTACATGAATGAAGACGTAGCCGCCGACCAAGCTAAACAAATGAGATGATTGTGTTTTTTTATTAAAGCTTCACACACCTGGGTTTTTAATTTAGCGCATTATAGCATGATTGGTTTTTAATGGTAACTGCTAAACAGACAAGGGTTATAATGTGCTCCTGATGATTATAACTGAAAACATATGATAGAGTAATTATGGTACTGGAAGTAAATTATGTATATTATTAAGGTAGTCCTGGGCTTCTTAGTATGACTAAATTCTGGCTCCTAACAAAAGAATGGGGTGAATTATCAGCTGCCATCAATATTATAATTAAAATTATATAACACACCTTTTACTGATCTTGATCATTGAGCTTTGTGACAATATTTATTTCTCAAAAATCTTGAAGTCTTGCCATCAAAGCCTGATGGCAAGACACCTTCAGCAACATTCATCTGCGTGCGTATACGAAGAAGAAATGTGTCCTCTATTTTGAGAAGGCAACGCTACATATTCATCTGCTATTATATCTGGACTTAATTCATCACAAGTGCGTCATCACCAAGGTCCTGAGTAGCGCTGTTTAAAAGCTTACACAATCACATGTTCTGATGAGTCATTCAATTTGTGGGATATAATACAGTAGCTCTCAACTGCCACATGCAGAGTATAGTTTACTCCGTGACAAATAGGAATACATTGTCAACTCTTACCAACTCAGCCCTCACTTTAAAAGTGTTTCTCACTGTAGCACTAACACCTCATGAGTCAGCGTTGCCCCATCTGCACACTAGCTGTTTTCAGACTTCCAGGGACTTCATGCTGCCTTCTTGTGACTATACTCTGCATAAAATCATCTTGAAATATGTGTATCTCTTTTGATAACTCTCCTCACTCTGTCTGTCTTCTCCTCCCCTATGCATTACATCATACTGTGATCATTCCCCACCCTCCTCATTAGCTCAGAAACAAGTAATGTTCATATCTAATCCTTGTGCCATCTCTGATCCTCTTCATCTGTGTGTTTGTCTCTCCTCACGCACATGTCCCCACCTCCTTGCTCTCCACTCACCGAACATGTTGTAGTTTGATTGTGACGGTGATGGAAAGATCACACATGATGAGCTGAAGGAGGGCATGAAGAACCTCCTGGGGGAGAAGTTAAAGAAAGGCGAACTGGAGGAGATCCTCAGCGACATTGACCTCAACAAAGATGGCAGCATTGACTTTGATGGTGAGCGGTTGGCGACTCGGGGGAGTGTTGGAGGGAAACAATTAGACTCTAGGCAAGGTGTGAGAGGACATTAAAACAATTATTAAACACAGTGATAAAACACTGTGACAAGGGGATGGTTGGTACACAATACAGTGATTATCAACCAAGGGTACTTGTGCCCCATTGGGTATTTGTGCAGTTGCCAGAGGATGCGATTTACTGCAACTACTGTTTAGTTTAATGAAACAAAACTACTTGGTTAGGTTGAGGTGTAGAAGATTATAACTTAATCGTATGAAGATTTGTTCAAAGCGATACATAAACTAAGTTAAAATACTTTGCTAAAAGAAGATAATGGTGCAGCTTCTTGCCAATCCAGTAGTTAAAGCCACTTTTTTTTTACATACTGTTTTAGTACAGAAACATCCAGTTTATTATCAATTCATCACACATTTGGAATGTGATGGACGTAGTGTTGATAAAGAAAATACTTGAGGTAATCATGACCTGACAGGAGCGCGAGTAAATCAGACAAAAAAGGTCTATAACTGCTGCATGGTGTTCATGGGGCAAGAGCGGACTAGGAAGGACAAAGCAGAGGAGTAAATGAATATTGTTGGAATGGTTTGAGGATGAAGGTGACAGAGGAGAAAATCAGTTACAAATTAGGCGGGAAAAAGGCTGAGATGGGAAAGCAGGGATGGTTACATCAAGGTGGGTTAGCTGGAGGGGCCAATCCAATCTAATCAGGAGTGCATTAATACAATCAATACACATGCCTGACAACTGACACATGTCATAAAAGAGAACACACACTTGGGCAGTTCAAGGACTTTGCAAACATGTCATTACCATATTGTACCTCCCAAGCAAATAAAAAAAGCACTGGGACACATTCACACATTCACACACACACACACACACACACACACACACACACACCACACACACACACACACACACACACACACACACACACACACACACACACCACACACACACACACACCACACACACACACACCACACACACACACACACACAACACACACCACACACACACACACACACACACACACAACACACACACACACAGGGCCGTTTTCTAGCTTTTTGGGGGCCCTATGCAAGATGCTGTTTGGGGGCCCAGTTTTTACAGTTATTTAACTACAATGGGGGGATTTCCGAGCCTTTAAGATGATCTGTGGAGATGCATCAATCTGTTACAACTTTAATAGGAAAACAGGCTAATTTCACGAAACCATGCAATTGAAAATTACAAAAAATGATATTAAAAAGGTAAATAATAAGGCTCCTCTATGGCAATAAATGCAAGAGATGCAGCATTTTCTCAACAATGTTTTAATTTACATTTTTCATCTTCCTCAGACGTCACTCATTGGCTGTCAGCCAATGAGTGATCGTTGGGCTGATCACTCATTTTATTACCCAAAAACCCAGCCACAGCTTTGCTATCATTGCAGTTTAGTCGTGTTTATATCCTACATTTGGATGTGTAAGCATATATGCTTCACCGAACAACACAGGAGGGGCTTGGCTGTCTACAAATAAAGATGGCTAATTTTAATTCTCCCCAAATATATTGAGGCTGAACCTGAACTTTGAATTCCCTGGCTCCCATCATAATCTTGGCGATCTTGTAAAATTGTGAATGCAGAATCAAAAATACTATGTAACTGGTTTGCAGTAGGGATGCACGATATTGGTTTTTTGAAACCGATACCGATACCGATAACTTCCTGCTTCTCAAGACCGATACCGATAACAAAAAAAAATGTTACGCCACTAATTATTTTAACGCGATTAACGCATGTGTATTTTTTTTCCTCGGCCGCCCCGTAGTTTCAGAGCGCATCGAGTTTAAAATACCAAGCTGATGCTGCCGCCCGCTTGTGGCAGACCACACTTCCACGCTCACCGGCAGGCACCGACTGGCCATCTGGAGGACCGGCAGGGGTGTGTGTATGTGTGGGCCCGAGCGAGCGAGGAGAGAGACCTTACGTGCATTGTTGTTGTTAGCATCTGGTTGCTAGCTAGCTGCGCTAACGGATATAAGGAGCTGTTTAAATTAAAACAGAGGAGCGACATTTCGCCACAACTGCGCCGAGGCACTTGACTTATGCAGGAAGCCAGACAGTGGGACATTGTACGAAAAGTCAGCACACTCAGCACGGATAGTGCGCAACATGATTGCAGCATCCAGGCAGCTCCGGTTCGAGCATATGCCTTGAGTTGCACATAGCTCCAACGCCCATACCACCGACGACATGTTTGTTTACTGTCCTGGCTTCACGGCCCGCACACCATTTACGTCACAGCCAGGCATGAGTTAGGAGCGCTGGATTTGTGAAGAACTCGCCTCTTCCTAAACCACTAATACCACAGTACTGGCAAAACGGGAGGAGCCGAGTGAAAAACAAGCGCCCCTCATCCCAATCCACCCCACACCCGCAGTATTTTTTTCTTTTTTTTACCCAAAAAATATATTGTATATTATCGGGGGCTATTAATACTGGTATCGGGTTTATCGGGATGACGTCATAATTCCTAATATCAGACCGATAATTATCGGGCCGATAATTATCGTGCATTCCTAGTTTGCAGTTAATAAATTATCCTTAATGTGGCCAAAACAAATTACATGTTATTCAATACAAAGTCTGAGAGTAGAAATGACTGCATTATACGGATTTGCAATACAGAGATAAAAAAAGTTGGTGCATGTACATTTTTAGGACTGCTTGTTGACGAAAAACTCAATTGGAAGCACCATATAAATTATGTACAGACTAAAGTGTTAAAAACAATAGGTATTTTGTATCATACTAAGAACATTCTTGTCTATTTCTCCCTTACCTTTACTACTGCTCCGAAATATGGGGAAACACGTACTCAACAAATCTACAAAGAATAATAACATCCCAAAAAATAGTATTACGAATAGTCTGTGGTGTTGGTAAATATGAACACACAACTCCCATATTTAAAAAAACTCAATCTATTAAAATGTGTTGACATAGTACAGCTTAAAGCAGTACTGGTTATGCACAACATTTTCGATAACAAAATGCCTAATAACATTCAAAAGCAGTTCCAAACCACAGCGTGAACATATGAATGTAAAAAAAGTTACTTGAAAATAAGTGTACACAATGTTTATATGCAATTATGCATATATAATTATTATTATTATTATTATTATTAATTTGCCAAGTACATGTGTACCTATGTATATATTTATATAAAGTATTTTAATATCCAAAAAAAGATAGTTGAAACTGCTATTGACTTGATTCGTATATATGCATTTATTGTTTTCCTGCCCTAACTTTTATTTAATTTTTTCTCCTGTTTTCTTTATTTCTTTGTACTCCTTCATTTCTATACGTTGTTGACGCATAATAATGCCGCTGTATTAGGATGATGCACGGGAGGGTCTACTTTCCACAAGCTATGCTTCAGCCCCCCCGCTTCTACTAATTGTGTTCAGCTTTGTGTGTATGAATTAAACTTTTTTTTGTTTTTTGGATGAATAAAAAAATATATATATATACTTTCAGCTTGGGGGCCCCCTAGTGGCCGCGGGGGGCCCTATGCCGCAGCATAGTCCGCCTATAGGAAGAAACGGCCCTGCACACACACACGTCAGCACCACAATGCACATCGGTGAGATTATAGGCTGCAGTACACTGGGGGCTTAGAGGTGTGATCCTGTTTGTCTTGTCTCAGCAATCCAATCAATTATAATTATTGGGGAACATATGAAAAGGTGTGGTCAGTCCCTGAAGGGATCAATAAGCAGGTGCAGCTCATTATCATCAAGTAGCCCCTGGGGCAGCGTTGGAGTGTGTCTGTCCAGCTCAACCACATGGGCAGAAAAACCAGCTTCCACAGCCTCTGAGAGAAGACCCTCTCAGTATCCAGACGGCAGGTCGAACTCAAATGTTAGGAGCTGCTGTTCCGCACTTCACTTCTTTTTTACAGAAAATGGTTAGAGGAGCACCTCAAGAGATAATGCTAGTGGGTTAATCTGGAATTAGGTTTTAGTACTCTGTCAATCAATAGATTCACACCTACAACCAGACGTCTTTCAGAGCAAAGCACTTCAGGGTCACAATGTGGAAATGGAAGTCATGATTGACTGGATTGATTAAGTGACCCCTGCCTTAAGCTTGGTTACATTGACAGGACACATCAATAGCTATCCTGATTGACACGTGAATCTATAATAGTGAAAAAAGTGGTAAGAAAACTGATTACTGATTACATAGATTTTTGAGAGCCTTGAAACTGGCATTGTTGGAGTTTGTCATCCTTTAAATCCAGACTTGTGATTGAAATCTCCTAAGAAAACCAGTCTAATATAAAAAAAAAGAGTCATATTTGACTCCCTTATTTTGGTATTAGTCCGTCACTGCATCTATTTCCCATTTACTAATTTCATTACATCACAACATGTGCTGTGTTAGTTTCCGGTACATTGGCTAAAAATAATGCGGCTGCATCTCAAGCTCTCTTTTTATGATGTTAGAGTGTCATTAGTCCTTATCGGTGGATCTGCTGTCTCTGTCTCCCTCTGCAGAGTTTGTTATGATGCTTTCTGCACGATGACCCCTGATGGAAGAAGATGGAGGCGTTGGTTCACAAGTACCAACTCTTCCTGCTGTTGCAATGTGTTCCTGTGACATTTCAAGTGTATGCTCGTACAAAAATTGAATTGAGTAAAATAAAACTTATTTTCATGAATGTTGAGTTTGAGTAAGTGCAGAGGTTAAAGGAGAGTTATGAAACATTTGTAACTGTTATGCTGCGCTGTCGCCCCCTTGTGGTTAGAACGTTTCCATGCTCTTAGAGCCTTTAAATGAATGTGCATTAACTTTCTATACCCACTGATAACACTTTAACTTTAGTTTCTTTAAGGACTTTAGTATATTTAATAGTTGTAGTTATGTTTTCCTCTTTTGTTTCTGTGCATTTTCGGACTGGTTTTGAAGGAGAGGGGCTTTGTTGAAATCATAAAATACTATAATGCAATCTGTGACAATTTTGATAGTAGTGGATAGTTTGGTTAAGGTCAATCAACTCTAATAAACCCACCCCCAAATCGTCTAGTTAAGAATTGAAACTCGTGATAACGTTTTTTTAAATGTAGTCATGAATATTTAATGTTATCGAGAAATAAATGCTTTGAAATATTTTTGGGGGGTTTTAAGTGAGGTCCTTGCTTTGAAGTACATCTCCAGTTGTGCAGATAGCTACAGGTCTTCTATTAAAAAGGGGTCAAACAGTGAAAACCGAGGCTGAAAAAGAAGGGCATTTATTATAGAAAAATTATAATTTAAACATCTGACCAAAAAGCCTTTTTCATTTTAACAGGTATCTTATCCATAAAACAGCCTTGAATCTTGTTTCTTTAGGACTTGGAATACACAATGTGAACAAATGGTTCCATTAACTGGAAAAAAGTGAAAACGTACTTCACCCTATGGCAAAAAAAGGAATGGTGACCAAGTCAATGCGTTGTGTTGTTAAAAATCACAATACCAAAATGGTGTAAGGCAATCGCAGTACTGACTGAAGCACCGCAGCTCCTCCTCCCTCCATTTAGACAGAGCAGCTCTGAACCTTATGTTGTCCGGTTTTTGATTTGTCATAATATTGCAAGAACCCCCTTCAGATATTCTTCTTCACATTAGAATGTACAAATATATTCCTACTTATGAATTAATTCAATTTAAATTCATGAAACGGGTGTCTGAACATTTTTGTTTAGAAGATTGACGATTTATAGAAAGAACCACTGAATCTTATACATGATATCCTCCAACTCAACCAGGTCATCCAAATGTGCATAACAATCACATTTCCAAAGATAGTGCGTACGATTTAGGATAACTGTGAGGAGAAGAAAAGCATTAAAGAAAGCATAGGATACAGATTACATTTAAGGGCCAGGAGTGAGGTTTAGACCTGATAGAGGAATAATATGCCCGATCTTTGCATGACAACTTGGAAGAGAAGAAACATCGTCTTAGTCTTTCAACAGGAGGGTCCTTTTCCCTTACTAAGAGGCACATGCTTATCATGCACAACTTCCACTAAGTGGATGATCTAAACCACATCTTGCTATCAAGTTTTTGGACTTTCAGCATTTAGGATTTGTTCCGCAGAATCACATCACCCCTCCTCAAAATTAACATAAATCTTACAGCCAGCCGGCAAAACAAACAGAAAACTTCCTTTATCGGATCTCCCCAGGGATGATTCCACACAAACTATACTACTCTCCTCCCTTCAGCTCCGTAAGTAATATCATTAAGGGTTGATCGTTAAAATCGTTGTTGCCTTTAACAGCATCAATACAATGTCAATCAAGTGTAATAGAAACTGCGCTTTAACAAACTAATTGAGCCACATTCTTATCAGATGAGAAGCTATTAGGATTGAGGGCAGATGAGAATAGTGGCTGTAATATTGGTGTTATTTTCCAAAATATATTTTGACAATCACACGAATAATGTGTGTCAGTGGGAATATCCCTGAGGTGGTTTTGGCCACATCTCTGGTTTCAGTGATCCACATTTCAATCAGGTTTTAGCTTGTCTTTTGTTTCGTGTAGGCTTTATACTAGAAGCTGTTAAACCAGGGGTTTTGTTGTAAAGGGAAGTTGAAGCGTAAGATGGCAGTAGAAACAGAAGATTTTGTGATATTGTTGCAAGGTTGCTTAAATGTCATTACAAAGTCCATTGAATATTTGTGGTGATCAGAAGAGGAAGCTCTAGTTGTTGGGGATGCTCTGCAGATATGTGAGGATGTGCTGGATCTTTACAAGGCGTTCTTTGAGGCTGGTCATGGAGAGGACAGAGAGCTGGTAGCGGGGGTCGATGGGCAGAACAGCCAACAGCCACCAGCAGCAGGCCGGACCATTGGGAGTCGCCTGGAAGAGAGGAGGAGAGGAATTAGACATGAGTGTTACGGCCCGTCCACACTACAGCTTCGACAGCTTCAAAAACGGTTTCCAACGCGTCTGCCCATTCACTTTGAATGGGGTGACGTCACTTTTCGCCGAACTGCATTGTGGGAAGCAGAGCGGAGCTTTCCCTGGTGTTTCAGGCTGCAAAGTTGATCAATGTTCAACTTTTGAAGCTTCTGAAGCTTTCGGTGGAAGCGTCAGCCAATCAAATCATATTCCAGTACAAGCTCTAGCCAATCAAACCGCTGCTTGTGTGTCAGGGGCGGGAGATTCATGTGATTGGTTGTTGGTCGAGCTTCAGACACGCCGAGCTCCAAGCTTTTTTTGAAGCTGTAGTGTGGACGGCCCGTTACAGATCCTATACAATCGTGAACTGTTAGCGCCGGTTTTGTGTCAAATTATGCATCCCCACCATGAAATGCACCCCGTGTCACGGGAACACGCATTTCTAAATGAAACGTTTAGACCTTAAAATGATGCTTAAAACTCAAAGACAACGTCCAGGTTTTTTTTTATTTTTATTTTTTTTAAAAATGGTAATTTTCAGACTGAGAGTCGTTTTTATTGGTAGCTGGTCCCTTGGCTCATGTCGTCCCCTCGGGCCACCTGTGCGTCAACAAATAATGTCCCCCTGACCAACGTATATTGCAACACCCCAACCTTCAAAATACGGAGTGAAAGTTTAACCACAAGAATCAAGACTATATGAGCTACCACTAAACGACTCAGAGTCTGAAAATTAACATTAAAAAACCCTGGATGTTACTTTTAATATTAAGCATCGTTTTAAAGTGTAAACGTTTCATTTTCCAAATGCGCGTTCCCGTGACAAGGGGTGCATTTCACGCCGGGGCTGCATAATTTGGCACAACACCGGTGCTATGCCGTGTTATGCATGCCCACTGCACCTCGCGGGAGCCCGCCACAGCATAAAGCATAAACTCCCAGACATTTCAATGATTTGTACGGCAAAGTTAGGTCTGGAAACGTGGTATAAACACCGGAGCCCTGCTTCGGGGAAACTTTGGCGCTGTTCTGAGTTTGTTCTAATCCGTCAAAATGACTGACTGCTTTCAGATTTTTCCATCATTGTTAAAAAAAAATCCTCATAGAAGGAAAATATTCGGTTAAACGCGACCTCTGATACTAGCTACACACTGCCAGAGGAATGCATGTCTGCGGCACAATTACATGGCTGAAATAAATCCCAGAGCACCACAGCCAGATACTAAATGTGCTTTACACTTCAAAGGGTTTGAAGTGAAAATGTTGACTTTGTCTGTGCCCCAATTTCCATTGTCCATTAGGCAAGATACCGTAATCATTTTTGGAATCACATAACTCAAAAAATCGAGTGTTCAGTGTTGGAGAATCTCTTTATGACTGTTCTGACGCAAGAAAGCTGCTGGGATTATGTATGAAGCACCCATAAAGCTCTTTAGGCCGTATTGTCAATGGACTTCCGCCCTTTGGTGCTTCAAAGAACGGAGCTGTAATCCCTGTCGGCGCTGCAGCCTACGGGCGGGAGCTCAGCGCACACAACAACTTTGTTCCGGTATTAAAGCCTCTGAGCCAGGTGAATCCGTGGTAATGTGGGTTTCCCCAAAAGGCAAGTGTGTCATGAGAGAATCCAATTTTAGAATCCGTGGAGTCTCTCGGTGTCAGACGAGGTAATGAAAGCTGTACAAACCCTGCAGTATTTCGAAGAAAAGTACATCTCAAGGCCAGCTGATACCAGTTCCCAGAATAATAATATAACAATCAACCTGTGTGTGCGCTATATTTTCTCAGTTTATCTGGTTGTGTAAAAAGTTGGGACTTAATGTTCTTAACAGTCTGCACGAACGTCTGCTTTGCTGCCACAGGCTGCCAACTCACTGTGCAGAGTATTCTCACTTTCTCATCTGGTGGACGCTTTATTAAACAACACATATTGTAGTTCCCATGTGTTCAAATGCTGGTGAGCCCACGCCGCATGAGATGTTTAATTTAGCACAAGATATCATTTTTTACAAGTTAACTAGTTTTTCTTTGTATTGCTCTATTTTACAAGGTCGATTCAATTCCTCATTTTAAACCTCCAATATTCCAGCAAAGTGCACATTTAGGTAATAACACAGTTAAGTAAACCACTCTGCTAAAGAAGATTAACTTTGTATTGCTTAAAGAAGCTTGAAGTGGGAATACTTTTCTAGGAATAATATGAAGGGAAACAGGCACATCTCTGTAGATGGAAGTGGGGTGCTGGATGTTTACCTTAGTGCATGACATTAAGGATTTTGGGAGATGGCCCTGTGGGCCATCTAAGCTAATTTACAGATGGCCCTGAGCCCAATAGAGATTGCCCTGAAAAATGCGCGCGGACAAAATGACGCACGAAGGGTTTGGGGGGCCTCCCCTAGAACATTTTGATTTGTGCAGGTCTTAGATGCTGTCTGGTGCATTCTCTAGACTGAATTATAAGATGAACCACCACAATATTATATTGTACAATTTCAATTTTATTCTTCATTTCACTTGTTTGTTTGTTCTTGTTTGTGTTTGCTCGCTTGCATGCCCTGCATAGCTATAAGAAATACTTAAGTTGTTGGTCAAGACACTTTCCAAAGTGCCTTTGGAAAATGCCTTCCCAGATGTAACAAAGTAGAAAACATTACATTCAGTTATAACTGCCAAAACAAACATTATTTACACTAGTATGAACCCTGTTAAAAATGTTTGTAATGTTATCTACTGTAAGTTGGTCGAACGAATGCCTCCTCATCCGGAAGCTGACCGAGCAGACCCGAGCAGCAGTCGAGAGGAGCCGAGGGCATCCGCGAAGCACACAAAATGGTGACGTCAGAGTTCCCGTTAGCCGGCAAATCTAAATCTCTTCGGTCAAAATGTCCGGTCAAAATAATTTCCCTTTAGCGCAATACCGCTTCAGTTGCGCCACTTATGTGACAGACATGAAGAGTATGTGACAGACAAGAACAGTCAATTCTAATGTCTAACACTTAATGTGGAGAAAGAGATGTCCTGTATGGGTTGATTGTGCGTTGATCTGTTGGTAATGCCTCGGGGTTCCGGTGGGCATGTAAACAAATGTATAATGCTGCGCTATACTTTGTGGCCTCACCAGGTTGCATAGCGACGCTTATTGTTTAGGTGTCTTTTAATAAGCAGGTAGTCCTATCATTAGCTAGAACTAGCTGGATCTGATCGATATGGACATAAACGCGAGTGAAGTCTAATCTGACGGGAGAGAGAGATCAGCTGCTGCTGACAAGTCGACACGCAGCTCTGCATGATCACATGCAGCGGTGAGCGGACAAAACACACACTTCAGGTTAGAATATCACACGTAGCTATTTTAATTACCTCTCAAACTATAGTACCGTAACTAGTTATAGATATGTTTAGTTTTACTGTCGGGTCTCTCATTACTGATTCCCGAGCTGCATGATACTGGCATAATAGATTGCCCGATCGGGCAACCAGCAGGCTTCATTGCCCGAGCTAAATACTAGATGGCCCCGGGCCATCGGGCAGTCGTTAATGTCGAGCCCTGTACCTGGATGTCAGCTTCTCGCTCTGGCATGGGTCCAAAGTGCTGCAGGATCTGGTCGTAGAAGTGGACCTTGAGGTTTTGGAACCAGTCGCGGGCCTGCTCATACACGGCATCGTGCAGCTCTTGGAGTTTCTCAAGCTCCTCACTGTCCTCCACCTGAAGGACAGGAATCATTTGACCTCTTAGTCACTTTTGGATTGTTTAAACTTAAAAAATAACCCAAAGACACACCCCACTCAAAATAAACCCTGGTAAATACAAATGTAAAACTGATTTTTGAAGACTAGGATTTTACATACTGAACATATTATCCTTAAAAAAGAGTTCTCGTGGTTTTTACCCTGGTATCGCCCAGATGCTCGATGTTCGCAGTACTGTAACCATCCATCATCCCTCGTGTCAGGACCCGGAAGCGTTTCCCTCCGATGGTGTCCACTACTGACCGTCCGTCAGGCAGGAAATGGACACTCCTGATGGTCAGCATGCAGCCATGGTCTACAAACCTGCAGGGTAGCACAATTTAGTTTATTGGTATAGACACATTTTTCCATTCCATATGTCTGGTTTGAGGGTCGCTCCGTATTGTAATTCATACAAATGCACTTACCCTTTCTGGGGATCATTAATACACATCCCAAACTTCTGCGTGCCCGTGTCCATGCAGCGGCGAAGCATGAGGCGGTAGCGCGGCTCGAAGACATGCAGCGGGCAAGGCACGGTGGGGTAAGCCATGGTACACACAAAGATAGGCACATTCTTTGTCAGACTGCACAGAGGGCGAGAAGGAGAAACATATTTAGAGCTTCTGACACAGTTAAAATAACTGATCATGATTGTTGGAATAAACCCAGACGAGAGGGGGAAATGCTTACTCAGAAAGTTCTCTGGTCTCCTCCAGATATGTTTTAGTCCTCTCTTCATACTCCTTACTCAAATACTGTTTGATCAGTTTCTCCAAGACAGTTGTCACCACGTACTTTCTACATGCTAGATACTGAAGAGAGCAAGGTAAGAGTTAAGGGTTAAAACAGGAAGCTAGGACCGACATTTTACTTAGTGAAAAAAGTAGAATGTCCAGACTCTATACGTTGTCTAACCTCTTTCAGGCTCTCTTTACAGAGGGGACACTGGGGCGTATGGTCCAAGCAGCGCTCCAAACAGTTTTTACAGAAGGTGTGGCCACATGGAGTCGTCACAGGCTCGTAGAACAACCTGCATTCACCGTCCAACAGTTAGTTTTACATTCTCAGTCATTTAAAAAAGGCACAATGTGTAAACATCAAGGTAAATGTGTGTGTTCGGCCCACCAGTGTGTGATCTTACCTCATGCAGAGAGAGCACTCCCAGTCATTAGGGTCCACCTGATCCTCAGGAACACTTCTGCACGTCTTTGCTTTGGCAGCCTTTTGTTTGGAGCCTTTCACCAAATCTTAATAGAGTAAAAAGCATTTAACATTTAGTTGTTAACTCTGCTAAGATGTCAGTTAATATTTCCCTGGTATATTAGATGTGCTGATTACCAATTTGTATTTGCGAAAAATCTCAAAAGTGTCCACATGAACATGAGTTCATGTGTAATGTGTTTTAGTTTTTAAATATATTGATGTGAACAGAAGTAGAAGAAATATGAATTGGAAATGAAGTAAAATACATCAGGAAGAAGAGACAGCAGTAACATGGGGGGATTGCACACAGACCTTGTTTTTTTAGACTTGCTACCCCCACTGCCTACAACACAGTGTTCTGTGTCGGACACCGACAGCTTCCTCTTCAGCAGACTCCCTTTGTTCTCGTCCCCCAGCTGAGGAGCAGAGCAGACTCTCTTCAGCCCTTCCTCTCCACAGCTCAGGCCGTACATCCGCAGCGAGTGAGCTCGGCTCAGACCGGGCCGCTCCAGGCTCTCCCCACGCCTCTGAATCACAGAAGATCAACAGAAATGATTAAAGAAACCATATATGAAGAACGAACTGAACAATGTGATATTATAATTCGCCTGCTCGTACCTCCTGGCTGTCCTGGTGTTGGTGTGCCGAGGCGGCGCGGGCCGGCGATTGGTGTTGTCTTTGGACCGGGCTCTGCGGTTGTTCTTGGGCATCGGCCACCAGGGTTTTACTGCGCAGGCGAGGCGACGTGTTCTGAGTGGTTTCCCTCATGCCAACCTTCACATTCTCACCAGTGGGGGAGAGCAGGTCACACAGGATCTGTGAAAAACACTCAGTTAGTTTGCCTGCAAATACCTTTTCAAAAGGTCTTTACATGTCAGAGGTAGATACGATGTCTAGGTTATATCATACTGAATATGAATATATAAGTGGAAAAATCAAGTGTTTTTTGGTTGAACAAAACATTTACATTTTATTTTCCAAACATGCAGTGGGGTGTGGTTAGATCGCCGGCTGCTGGAGTGATGGGAGTGGCTCGGCCGGAGACCAGACAGCTGAGGCCTGTACTACGAATCCAGTTCAACATACGGAACTGGATATGGATATGTTTGAGTTATCTGGTTTACCTAACCCAAAACAAACGCGCTCTTGCTAAGCGGTCCTACGACGCTGGTTATCAACTCGGTAACTCAAGCCAGGGTTTCTCTGTCCGGCTGAGTACGCGTTCACATGAAAGGGGCGGGGCTAGCAACATTTGACCAATCACAAACATGGACAAGCGTACTGACAGCGCAGCGTCATACTTCCTGAATGAAAAGTAAACTATAATATTAGACAAATATGAAGACGTTGAACTTTAAACATCCATGACTTAAACACTTTATCCAGGATAAAAGCCACATAGCTGCACCTGCAAGGTGAATACAGCTGGTAAAAGAAAAAGTGTTTGAATGCGTACATTAACAGGTTTATGATATCACTGCCCCGTCTAAAACACGAGTGGATCTGACTTTAATTACATTTGACTCGAGTGTTTCGTCAACTTAATGTGTTGCTTCAAATAATACTTCTGCATACAGTATGTGACACTGACAGAGCCTACACACGGCGGCGTGCGTTGCCGCTTCAACGCTTCTGCCCATTCACTTTGAATGGGGTGATGTCACGATTCGCCGAACTGCATTGTGGGAGCAAAGCGTAGCTTCTCTCGCGGTGCTCGCTGCAAAAGTAGAGCAATGTTCTACTTTTGCCGCCTCGACGGAGCCAATCAAATCCTGCGTATGCAAATCTGACATTACAAGCGCTAGCCAATCAAACCGCGTGTATGTTGGGAGAGCCAGACCGCAGTTATTTCCCATATGTCAAAAAATGGAGGAGAAAATGATCGTGGCGGTACTATATGACCAGTCCCTCTTTACATACAGGGATACAAACCGGAGGAGCCAGGCATGGGGGGAGGTGGCAGAGACAGTGGGTGAAACTGGTAGGTTTTCGCCTGTTTGGGGAGTTTATATCCAGTGTACTTCGTTTGAATGGACAGCTAGCAAGCATAGACAGTATATTTAGCCAGCATGGATGTAGCCTGAATGCTTTGCTTTGTATGTCCGGGGCGGGACATTCATGTGATTGGTTGTTGGTCGCGTTGTTCGTAAAAAACAAGCTTCAGACACGCCCACCGCCAAGCGGTAACGCACGCCGCCATGTGTAGGGGCCGTGAGTGTTGCACGGCCAGATACGGCTCAGCTGACTCAGATCAGGAAATATATGATACATTATGATGTGATATGATTGATAATGGGACACATCGACGTCTGCACTCACAGTGCCGCGGACTGTACTTAATATTACTTTGATCCGGTTACTTGTGTTGTGGCAGATATTTAAGTAAGCTTTCTTAACGCTAATGTTATAATAGTCAGATTGCTCTGAAGATGGGAGTTGATATTCTATTAATGTTCACGTTCACAGTCAGTTGATTTTTGACGGCCGTCTTTCGTGCAACGGCAGCTTTTCTGTATTTCCTTTCTCCTGTAATATGACTTGATCGCTTTAAACTCCGCACACGGAGCTCTGATTGGTCAGCAGGCAGTGCTTTCACTGAGTTGATCTCTTATCCTGGAACCTAACCTGCTCCGGAGCAGGTTTAACGTTCAGCATAAGTTACCATGGAGATCTACCCCGGTAAGAAGTGAACCAGCGTGGTAGGACCGGAAACCCAGAGTTAACCCCTGAAGCTACCTCGCTAAGCGAAAATCTGGCTTCGTAGTACAGGCCTCTGCTCAGAATCAGGTAATTAAGCTATCAGTAAAAAGCATGCAGGTAACCTGGTTCAGGTTTCTCTCTGGCAGTCGGCTGGATCCTGAGAGTAGGATCCACGGACCAGAAGCAGCGTCAGGACATAGCAGGGCCGTTGTTTGTTTTTGTGAACTCCCCCTCAGTGGCAATAAACTTTGTTACATTTTCACAACACACCTTCTCCTTCCTTCATTGTGAGCCACAACACTCACAGGGTGATGTTTAACTTTTTGCCCTCCTTTTGTTTTTGCACAAAGAGTGATTAAATTACAGAAAATGTCAAATCAAATTTTAACAACCAAGCGCAGACCCGGTCAGGAAAATGGCAAGCTGGCCCCAAAGAGAAAGCAAACGTTGTTCTGAGGGTTGCCTCAGAATTGATGTCAGCATGACCTCAGTGTGCAGATGACCCAGTAACAGGGACCAATAATCTTTCCTCTCAGTCTGGATCATGCTGTAGTACCACACACACAGACTCTTCACACTCTTTCCTCTTTATTTTCATTATTTCCCTGCTAACAGATATCTTGTGATGTCTCTTTTTACAGCTAATGTGTTACCATATGCCCGGCATCAAATGCTAATTTCTCTGTGAGGGCAACATGGTCGGAGCCTGTCAATTTTAATTGCATTAATGGAATTTTTCATTATTTAAAAGGCCTTTCAGACTATATGTGTGATTGCAGGTTCCACAAACTTAATATGACGTGCTCCTGTCCTGTTGCATGCTGTCTGACTCCCACATTGACTGAGATGAATCTGAACAGCGTCTCTTTCAGCATCAGAAGGACACAGAAGTCAAACCATATAACCTGAAACCTTTCACATCAATTCCACACACGTATTACCACTGGCATGAGATGACTCATGTGATTATGTAGGTTTACTTATACAATGATGATTCAGAGATGATTACACAACTTGCATCAGCATAATCAACTAAATAGTTTTACCACAAAATGGCAACAACTCTCATGTTATTCTTAAAATCGAAGTAGCACTGTGAATAATTGAGAGTGGGTGACACTTATGTAACCGCATCGCTGTGGTCAGTCCATTAAATGGTACTGATTTCATGACAGAGTCAGTCATAAGACCTGCAGGAAATTCCAGCCTGAAATTGATCCCTAACATAACATGTTTATATTCCTATGATCAGGGGTGCACATTACTGCAGGTACGCATGCGCGACAAAAATCTGAATTGCGTAACGTCACTTGTGTCACTACGCGCCTTTGCGTACCTCAAAACAAAAACACATATATCGTCTACACGTGTTTCTTGTCAACAGTCAATGGAGTAAACTACGAGACATGTAAAACAAAAACAAAGACAGCTACGTTGCCGTTTCACTCCCTGCAAAAACTCTTCAGACTTTCTGTGACTGACTGAACTGGAGCTGGCCGAGCCGCGCAGGACATAACCGACGGACCAGTGAAGCTTACAGGAGGCAGAGGCTTAGATCACCGGACTACATAGTTGGTCGCCGTGTGCACAGACAGGGTTATCGTCGGTATGAACAACAGAATGAATTGTGCCAAAACTCTGCCAACTGGCTGCAGTGGGAAACTCCCCTGTGCACATTCTGTGCACACACTGGAGAACTGCGCACAATCAGCTGATCACAACGTTTACGCTCTGTGGTCAAGCTGCTGCCGTTTTATTTACAACAAAGTGGAGTGAAACACACAGCTGCAAACTTACTCAGGGTGTTAATGGAAGAGTTTGAAATCAGACAGAGGTCGAAGAAGTACTCAGATATTGTACTTGAGTAAAAGTAGAAGTATAGTGTTACTCTGTTACAATAAAAGTCCTGCATTCAAAATGTTACTCAAGTAAAATTAGAAAAGTATTATCATCAAAATATAGTTAAAGTTCCAAAAGTAAAAGTAGTCGTTGTGCAGATTGGTCCATTTCAGAATAATATATATGATATGTTTTGTAACGATTGATCATTAAAGTGTTCTCAAAGCTGGTAAAGCTGCAGCTAATTTTACAAATTAGATCAAAGTTAAGTAAAGTACAAATATCTCAAAATTGTACTTAAGTAGAGTACTTGAAGAAGTGTACTTCGTAACTTCCCACATCTGAAATCAGATATGACTTCAAGTCATGTGATCATTTCTTAGTATTTGATCCTTCAACTTGGCCTCATGAAATGCAAGGACTTCACAGTTTTGGCAACAGGTTTTGGAGAAAGCAAATTGGAGGCTTATAAAGAGACAGGGAGGTGCATCTTCATCATCTTCATCATCTAGCATGCAAGCAGTGTAAATAGAGGACAGTGAAGGAGACATTGAGGAGGACCACGCTTCGTGTGGGGTGAGTACCAAACGCTGTCTCCTGGTACTCATCTGAGTAACTCACTCAAAAAGTGATGTGCACCCCTGCTTATGATCAATATATTTAGGATTTGCAGTTTATTTTTATTGTAATCTTAGACTCGTATAGTTGCCCCCTTCCTCTTTTGTATTGCAACTTCTGTCCAGCAAAGTCATTTTGGATAAATAAAGTTTTATCTCATGCTACAGATGATCCTAATAGAATGACTGTACATTCTTAGTGGCTTTTAAAGTGGAAGTAAATATTTTATTTAGAGTATAAACTGTAAAACATGACAAATGCTCAGACTTACTGAAATACATATGGTTGTGCAGAACACTATGACCCTTTAAAATAACTTTTAAAATTTGTTTTTGTATTATCACCATGATTTCCCTCACCTTTTCCACTTGTCTTTTAGCACAGGGGAAGTCTTCGTCCTCAGACAGGCAATGGAGGAAGACATGGAGAGACTCGTCCACTTGGCCCATCTCATGTAGCACCATAGCTTTCCTAAACAAAGCCTGAAAGAACACAAAGAGAGACGTTATACTTATGTATCAGAATTTATGTTCACACTGTATTTACTCTGATGCTAAGTCCCTTTAACTTATTTACGCAAAATGTATTCATAAACACCAGTCCAACTTTAAGCCTCTTACAATTCTGGGAAGTGTAATTGCTCTACATGCAATATAAGAAAACCAGATTTAAAAATCATACTGAATTGTTTTAGAACAGCCAGACAGAAGACATACTTCAAACAAAAATGACAAATAAGATGTATCTAAATGCATTATTTATATGCTTTTCAATCGATCAGAATGATATGAAAGTTGTTTTGTAAGATATAATTTGCACCATAAATAGAAAATACCCTATGCTCCTGGAAATTATATAACCGTAATCTGTACATTCTTGATGTGGTCGGAAAACCTTCTTTTTTTTTTTTCTTTTAATGTTTATTTTATTAGCTTTTCTTTTTAATGACTGATTTTAAATGCCATTTTCTTAATCTCTTTCATTTTTTGTAAAGCACTTTGAATTGCCTTGTGTTGAAAAGTGCTATATAAATAAACTTGCCTTGCCTTGCCTTGCCTTGCCTTGCCTTGCCTTGCCTTGCCTTGCCTTGCCTTGCCTTTTGCCTTGATAATCTTATGTTACTTAATTACGCTGTGAAAAGGCCATTTATATCATTCTGAAAATAACTGTTGTTAAAAATATGCTTTGTAAACAAAACAACAGGGTCACTACTAAATACTTAAGACTATTATTCAACACTTTCAGCTGCTAAAACACACTCAAAAATAACTTTTGAGATTCAATTAAACAATTATCTTGTAACTTTAATCCAATCACACGACAAATGAGGTGCTCCCTGTGTCTGGCTTTTAGGTTTATGATCTTAAAATACACCGTTCTCCGTACTGACCTGATGACCAACATATCAGGAGAGACTGACTGACAGGTTCTTCACATGCCAGACATTAGTGAGGTGCATGCTTACAGTACATGACCTGCCACCATTCCTACAGCACCAACAGAATTAGGGGTCGACCGATATTCCGCATTTGACCGATTATCGGTATCGGCCTTTTTTTTTCTTCAAATTGCCGATAAAACTTTGGCTCTGATGCGGCCGTTTCTCTGGCTGCAGTCACCGCTCTGTGTACACGAGCAATGTCTATGGGCATAGAAATGTCTCATAATTATTTGTGTGAACATAAAAATAATTTGTGTGTAAATATGTGATTTGTAAATGTAAAACAACATCCACAAATGCATTTAAAAGATTAGCAAACTCACAAATAAATGTGCAAATGTAAAACGGATCTGCAAATACGTTAAATATGTTCACAAATTAAAAAAAGATCTGTGAATATCTCTTTAACATTTACACCTTTCGATCAGGCATTTGTGAATCCATTTTGTATTTGTGGAGCAAAAATGCGCTTGCGGATCTCAAATCTCTGTTCGCGGATCGTCTTTTTACACACGGAATTTTGAGACATATTTTCCGCCGCTCTCGGCTAAAATCTACTCGTGTCACTCGGTTATTTTCGGAAACCACGTGATGGCCTGCTGATGACGACATTTCCGCATGATTTCAAAGTAAGAGCATGATGGTTTGTTTAATGCTCTGTTTTTTTATTATAATGAACAGCGGAACGTTAGATGTATTCTTCATCACCATAACCCTGACCTAAATACGGTGCTTTTCTACAGATTACTTTATTACTGCACTGGTAAGGTAAAATTAGGCCAATTAATAAAATGTGAAGTGCTTTGTAACTTCGACCCGCTTGACTGAATACACAACAAACAATGAAGAAAGAGTTTTATCTGGGCTGTTTCACTGCCAGCTGCTCCCCCGGGACCCGAAAGTGGCGTCAATGAAAGTGCTCGATATATGCTATATTGAACCAATAACACAAACTAACTGTATCACTATAACATGATGATGATGGTGATGAAGAATGCATCTAACGTTCCGCTGTTCATTATAATACAAAAACAGAGCATTAAACAAACCATCATGCTCTTACTTTGAAATCATGCGGAAATGTCGTCATCAGCAGGCCATCACGTGGTTTCCGAAAATAACCGAGTGTCACGAGTAGATTTTAGCCGAGAGCGGCGGAAAATATGTCTCAAAATTCCGTGTGTGTAAAAAGACGATCCGTGAACAGAGATTTGAGATCCGCAAGCGCTTTTTGGTCCACAAATACAAAATGGATTCACAAATGCCTGATCGAAAGGTGTAAATGTTAAAGAGATATTCACAGATCTTTTTTTATTTGTGAACATATTTAGCGTATTTGCAGATCCGTTTTACACTTACAAATATATTTGTGAGTTTGCAAATCTTTTAAATGCATTTGTGGATGTTGTTTTACATTTACAAATCACATATTTACACACAAATTATTTTTATGTTCACACAAATAATTATGAGACATATCTATGCCCATAAATGTCCCGCCCACAGCGCTATCTGATAGGCTATTACTGAAGATGTTCCGGGCGGGAGCCAGCCAGAGAGGCGGGACCTTCTCAGATTACAGGCAGGTGCGAAAGAACGCAGACACAGACTGAAGCAAGCAGCAGCGCTGAGCGGCAGAGCCATACATGTGTTCAACCGAAGTTCAATAAACATCCCTATCCCCTATTCTGAAGTTGCAAAAACACCACGATCTTATGATCCAATTCTATCAGTTTCCCAGTTACACAGGGACGCGGGAAGTCAGTCAGAGTTGGGGGTGCGTGCAGCGTCTCGCAGCGGAGTAACGGCCCGTCCACACAGCGGCGTGCGTTGAAGCTTCCAACGCTTCTGCCCATTCACTTTGAATGGGGTGACGTCACTTTTAGCCGAACTGCATTTTGGGAAGCGACGTGGAGCGTTGCTGGCGTAGCTGGCGTCAAAAGTTGAGCAATGTTCAACTTTTGACGCCTCGACGGAGGCGTCAGCCAATGAAATCCCGTTTATGCAAATCTGCCAGTACAAGCACTAGCCAATCAAACCGCGTGTATGCTGGGACAGACTACGCAGGTCATTTCCTCATATTCAAAAAAATGGAAGGAAAATTCATTATAGCGGTAGTGAATCACCCGGTGCTGTATGATCAGTCTCTGTTCATCTACCGGGATACAAACCGGAGGAGCGAGGCATGGAGGGAGGTGGCAGAGACAGTGGGTGAAACTGGTAGGTTTTCGCCTGTTTGGGGATTTTATATCCAGTTTACTTCGTTTAACATTGCTATTGCTTTGTATGTCGGGGGCGGGAGATTCATGTGATTGGTTGTTGGTCGCGTTGCTCGCAAAAAATCCCCAAGCTTCAGATACGCCCAGCTCCAAGCGCCAACGCACGCTGCTGTGTGGACGCTCCGTGACTGTGGTGCGGAAGGGGGGGGGGGGGCTGCGAGTGGAGCCTCGCAGCTTTTCAGATTGATATGTGAAGCTCATTAGCTAGCCAACATGTATCTAGCAAATGTTTAGCAAAATATTAGAAGTGAGGCTACTAGACTAATGTTAGGTCTACTGTAAGAGCCTCACTTTTAATAGTTTGCAAAACATAAGCTAGCACTAGTGTTTTGCAGTTGCTAGCAGCTTATTGGGATTTTATGCTAGATAGACAGATATAATAAATTAAGCATTATTGTTAGTTAAGCATGTCAGCCTGCAGCCCCACTTCTTGTCTCTCTCTAACTCATTGCAGATGGCTGCACTAAAGAAAAGGGCACAGAGAGGAAACCAGTTGTAAGATGTTTAAAAGTTAATTAAACATAATATATGCTTAAATGCATTTCAAATAAGTAGTGTTGGAGTTTGTGTTATTCTACATTTTGACACCAAGATTTTCTGATTTTACTGCAAATGTATATCGGTTCCAAATATCGGTTATCGGTCTCCTTGATTACTAATAATCGGTATCGATATCGGCCTTGAAAAAGCCATATCGGTCGATCCCTAAACAGAATACCTGCCATTACACCTGGTGTCATATCTGACATTGATCAACTTCTCACTATTAAGTCAAACCAAGAGTGACAACATGAACATTGCATTTGAAATAAAAACACATTTCTGCAGCATGGGGAAACAAATCCTACAGGTTGGGCTGGGCCAAATATTCTTATTTTATCTTTATTTTGATATGAGACTAGATATTTGGATATATTTTGGATATGGGTACAATGGCTAGTGTTTGCTTGGTTTTAAAGGCTGTAGTTAAGTTAAGTTTAAAATGTGTATTATTCGTTCAAAGGGTTTTATGGTCATATACACAGCTAGAGTGTAGATAATATGCAATGAAAAATGTCACAGACACCTGCAACAATGCAACATAAATATATAAAAGACATGAAACAAATAAAACTACAGAAAAAGAGAAAGAAACAGTAGAAACTAATGTGCACCTAATGCAGGAGAGGCTCACTATATGTAGTATTTACCTGCATAACGGCTGATTATTATCAAAAATATCAGTATGTAAAATGTTCTGAGAGCACCAGTAGTCTACCCCAAAATAACGTAGCAATATGGATATTGAGATATTTGTGAAAGTTGATATATACACCATATTGCCCAGCCCTAGCTGCAGTAACGTTGTGACCTACTTCAGCAGAACAGTTGGACGTGGGGCTGAGTTCTGTGTCCTCCAAAGCCCGATGGTACATTTTGAGAGCTGTGTACGCCTCGGCTCGCGACAGTCGTGCCACCGCTGTCGTCTCTGGATCTGCAGGAGGTGATTGGAAGAGGGGAGAACTATTTTAATTAACTACCAGAAAAGGTTGTTAGTTTAGTGAAGCATGTACGTTTAAACAAATATCTTTCAATCGTGGTTCATCTTAATTTAGTACCAAACTAATTACTGACTACATCAAATTTACGAGCAAACTTATAACCCTTTCTAATTCACGGGTAAGTAATGTTAACATTTTATAATTCTGTCACTTCCGGCAAGTCATACATTAAATAACTACGTGACAATCATAAATGATATATTAACTGTGTCAATGCATTCTCAGACTACATCGCAAAAGACAAACAAGTTGCATAATAAGTCTGAAAGAGCAGAAAGATACCCGTGGATGTTACATTAACGTTAGCTCCAAAGAGGAGATCAAACGTACAATTAAAAAGCCTAAACCTACTCTAAAACTTCTGGGAAAGGCATAATCACTTGAGGAATATTTTAGTACAAACACAGATCCTTATACCTGTGAATTTCAATCACAATAAAATCAGGCTTTTGGTATTCATTTAATTACTCAACTATGTCACCTTGTTATCTCAACCTTCCTGATAACATTACTGACGACTGAATTATGTTAGTAGATAAAGCAAGCGTACAGTACAACCAAAAGTTCAACAAGATTAATAATGGGATTTTTTCCATTTTCAAATGTCACGCTTCCATTCAATGCAACTCATGACCTCTCTTTGAGAAAAAGATGGCAGGACGCATGGGACATAATGTGAACAGGACAACAGGTAGTTTGTCTAGCCATCATAACGTCAGGAAAGCCCCAGTCGTCGTTGAATATCTGGAAGTTTCTGCCTCATGCCTGCAGCAGTGAGGACCAGCGCTGTCTAACGCAGGTGCTACGCCTCTGTCAGGCCAGAGAACACAATGTCCTCCGACGTATTCTCCGAGGGTGCTACGCCATTTACCTTCATTTGATTTTTTTTAAATAAAATGTATGACAGCTGTTTTTTTCTGATGATAATCTTTTTGCCTTTTTCACGTTTATTTGACAGAGAAGGCAAACAAATAATCAGTGAAGAGAGAGGGGTAAGACATTTATAAAAGGTCATGGGGAATCAGTGGACACATAAACAAACATAATGTGGATGTGGTGTCCACTGTGGCCATTTTGCTACCAGTGGGCTTTTTGAAAGACTCACTGAGTAACACCATGCAGGAACAGAGAAGATTGTGCATCCATGTATTGAAAAAATACGTAATGTTTTTACAGCCTTTGCACATTCCACTTATCTGGCCTTGAGCAAATACTTTAAGTTTTTAAAAAGGGGGGTAGCATACACGTTAAATGTTGAGACAAGCAATTCAAGTTTAACTTTGAATGTGGTTAGGTAAGGAATTGGTGAAAGGGTCAAGTTATTATAATGGCTGCAGCTGTTCACTTTACATATTGCACTAATTATCGAAGGAAACAAGATACAGCAAGGTTACATGTGTGTGTTATATCACTTGACCCAGATTTCATGGATGTTTCCATAACCTGGCGGTCCACTAATGCAGGGGTTCCCAAAGTGGGGTTGTTTTGTTATTATTATTTGTATTATTATTAATAAAAACCGGTGCGTAGACATTTTTCAGGGGCGGACTGGCCATCTATGGAATTCCCCCGCAGCGAGGCTCCCCCACCGTTGACAAATCACTAGCACCCTGTTGACAATTCACGTGGGGTCGCCAGTCTCTGGCACTGTTATTTTGGGGGTCGTGGGCTGAAAAGTTTGGGAACCCCTGCACTAATGGTCTGGAACCCTATTTCAGGATGTATGGAAGGTTAGATGTGAATTTACAGGGAATCCAGCTCACAGCATGGTGACAATGATCCATACAAAAATATATTATTATTATTATATTATTTAAATGCTATCAACATTCAACATTGGTATAAACTACTCTGAAGAAGTTAATTGTTTCTCGCATGGTTTGATGTAGGCTACTTTCGGATCAAGTGGTTGAAGTTAAAAAGGCCGTGCCATACCCATTGTGGGTACATTGGTCACGACTAACTGAAAACACAAATTAAAATGGTGTGATGCATTGTGCATCACACCATTTTAATTTGATTTTTCAGTTAGTTATTCCTTAAGATCCAGTGGAAAGCTAAGAACATGTCCCTTTCTCTTCTCCTGGAACTCCTTAGTGAAAATGCAGGCAGTTTCAACTTCAGGTCACCTTCACTGAAACACCTGGGGGTTTAGTGCCTTGCTAAAAGGTCATTTAGACCAATATGGTAACTGGTGAAAGTAGCACATCTCATTGCCTTCTCAAGCTTGTACAGCCAATGACTGGGATTTGAACCAGTTGCTACACATTCCAATCAAAAGTGATTTGTTGACTATGAATCAACTGCCACAGATGTAACCAGGCCAAGTTTCACTCACTGCCTGACTTGGTTGAGTTTCTATCTGGATCACCAACCTTACCCTGGCTGCCTCTGATCGATGTACACATGGCATACACCCCATTGTAAAACACTTATAAAACGGGGGCAGACATAACAGTTACAAAACAGAAAGTGCCCTTCCCTGTACAAGTTACAAAACTGGCTCACAGTGTACGAACATTGGTCACGACCTGCCTTATGCAACTTGAACAAAGCGCGCATGCGCAGCTGGTGAAGTTTCGTAAGCAGGACCCACCAGTATACAGCTAATGGGAGGACTCAACACAGCGCTGGTTAGCAATGTTGATTAGTATAACTCACTATAATTAGGCTTTGGGGGTCTGCTAACCACAAACAAAGACTATTGTTGATTTATGTTGAATTATATATTACGTTGCAAAGAAACGATCCAGTGACACGTATGTTCATTCTGATCGGAAACTCCTCCCCATTTGTGAAAACATGCAAGAAGCGAAAGCAGGGTTTTGAACTGCACTTACCACACTGAATGACATCAGTTGCTAGGGAAATAGCTTCCTCGTATCGTTTTTTTCTACACAGTTCGTCCACTTCATATAGCGTTTTGGACTTCCTCCGCTCCTCGGGGAACCATTTGTCTAAAAGTCCGCACAGCATTACATTCGCTTTCTCCTCGCCGCTCACAGTCTCCTTGCACAGCTTACATTTGGAGAGCAGCCGTCGTTGTAAACACCTTTTACAATACGAATGTCCACAGGCTATGGTCACAGGTTCACCTACAAATCTATGGCAGTTGGGACAGTCAAACATCTCGTCCCCACCGCCGCTGTCCCCTGCGTCCTGACTACGGGCCGAAAGTGTGTCAGGCCCACCCTCTTTTCTCTTGAAGTTGCGGAGGATACAGTCCACGAAGGTGCTTAATTGTTCTGGTAGCACAGGGCCATATTGCATAGCGGCTGTAAACCAGTCTATGGCTTCTTTCAGGCAGTTTTCCGACACTAAAGCGTTGGCTTTCTGTAGTATGAACTGATGGTGTTCTTGCTCCTCCAAAGCGGTGTCCGAGTCAGCGCCGATGAAGAAAGCCGTCCTTTCCTCCGGCGCATCCTCCACCCACGGTTGGAGCGACATTGTTGCGTGAAGAAAATACTATGAAGATTTCGGTTTTCTTTTGTTAACGTGCCGCTTCATTTCTACGGCTGCCCCGGTCCTTGCTAGTGTACCGGACCGACTTCCCCGTAGACACACGTTTGTTATGTGACAAATACCGTCACGTGAACAGCAAACTCGTGCCCTGATTGGTCAGTACGTTTCGATTACAAAACCTGCGCCTTAAAGTTTCATAACTACGGAAAGGATTACATTTGTCCCAGGGTCCTCTGCTTTTAAATCCCCCCAGGCTACAAGAGTGTGTACGATGTGAGGGTCTAAGGATAGAGGGTGTCGTTTTTCTCATACTGATATTCTGAACAATCTGTGCTGTTGTATTTGCTGTAAAGTGTCTTTACTGTAGGCTATTTTTATTATTTGTACAGCACTTTGGCTCGACCAAAAATCGTTTATAAATGTGCTATATAAATAAAACTTGATTTTATTTGAAGAGTAAAATAAACAATGAAATATAAGTAGAAGATGTTATATGAGCCCTTCTTGATAGATTGGAGCCAAACGATATAAGAAAACGTACCCAAAATAGCCTAACCCCATCGTAACGGGTTGTGTAATAAGATTTTATAACACCTTCTGAGTTGTGATGTTATGTAATTATTTTTTAAAAACCTGCACAAATTAAAAAAAATAAAAACACATTTAAAACGTAATTGAATCACTTTATCGACTTAGGGCATGGATACTCTGTCTAGAATTACATTTATGATTGTGATAGGCTACATATTAATACATGTTTGCAAAACAAGGGCTTTTTAAAATTGTTTAATTTGATCCTTTACCCTGCATTATACATGCGCTGAATGCCAATTTCACCTTTTTGCCTTTCGGTAGATAATATTTTCCATTGCAAGTTCTTGTGCTGCTCTTCGTTTTGATACGACTTAGATAATACCGTTTTATTACAAGTGCAACCCTTCAATAAAATATTTGAATACACATAAATATATTCCATCCCTCACATACTTATGTATAATAACTTGCTTTATATTTTGTTATTGTTAATTTGGAAATTCAACATGTATATTTCTAGTCTTTTTAATTTGTATTGTACAATGCCATGTATTTTTATGCTGCTGCAACATAAAAATGTCCCAAATTCGGATCAATAAAGTACATATTATCTTCTTATCTTATAACGATTAGGTAAAACAAATAATCGTCATCTGTCATCTGCTAAAGTCATGGTACATACATATACACACTGTATTTAGGAGCTAAATGTATTAATATGTGAAAATATAAAAAGCAAATGACCTTATGGGGTGGCTGTGGCTCAGTGGATACAGTGCTGGACTTTGAATCAGTGGGTACCAAGTTCGAGTCCCACTGTAGTCAGCATGTCGTTGTGTCCCTGGGCAAGACACTTCACCCCAAATTGCTCCTGTGGGGATTGTCCACAGTACTGAATACTGTAAGTATTTGGATAAAAGCGTCTAACAAATGACATGTTATGGTGTTTTGATGCTAGTGCAGACTTGTAGTATTTCTCATATTTAACTTCTTAAATAATATGTAATTTATTTAAAGTTACATTTTAATTGAACAATGCTTTAACAAACAAATATTACAGATGAAATGTTTTCATATGTGAATGGCTCCAACTATAACTTCAAATATAAAAAGCAGTCTTAGTCTTAGTCTTATGATCATGATGTATTTAGATTGATGTGATAATTATCGATGAAAAATAAGCATTAACAGGGTTGTTTAACTGCAAACAACATCAACATTGGTCTTATGACAGACTAGATAAGATAGATAGATAGATAAGTACTTTATTGATCCTAATTTGGAAAATGTTTGCGATGCAGCAGCATAGACAGTAGAAATAAACAATCCAAAATATTTCTGAAGTAGAAAGTGTGCAGCAAAACAACTAATTAAAAAGCAAAAAACAACAACAAGAAAGCGTCAGGACTTATTGTGCAAATACTTTGATCAGAAATGTCAAATGGATGTTTGCTTTCATGAAGAAATGTGCCTTGAACTTTGACCTGTATTAGGCATAGCCTACTGTGTTTAATGTTGACCCGTGAAGTCACGCTGTTGATTCTCTTCCATCTATTCATTCATGTCGGCAGTGCTATATTACCAAAGCTTTCCATAATGTGGTTAGGATTGTCGGCAGTGGTGAAAGACTTATTTAGATCATTTAATTAAAAGTACTAATACCATACTGTGAAAATACTTTTACAAGTCCAATTTCTGCATTCAAAACATTGCTTCAGTAAAAGTATGTAAGTTTTATAAGGAAAATGTACTGCAAGTGTAAAAGGTAGTCATTGTGCAGTGTTTAACGATTATATAAGGATGTTTTTTAAATGAAAATTACTCCTGCATAATGTTTACAATGCTATTTACTCTTGAATTGATCTGCTCATTTCAGCTCCATTGTGGGTAGTTGGATTTTTTTAGATCATCATATGTTTAATTTCTTATGAGAACGGTGTAAAGAAAGTACTTAGCTGACTTAACTTCAGTTACTTGTGTAAGTGTACTAGATAGGGCCCTTCTCACTTCTCTTATTTTTCATTTCCTCGCTCCTCGGTCTCGGTCTCACCGGAAGTTGATTTGTCTGCGCCATCTGCTCCGGAGGAAAGGACGTCCCATTGCTCTTAAAACTAATTTCCCTGCTTCTCGTGGTTTCCTTGCGTCCCTCCATGCTTCCCTGGTAGGAGGGACTAGTCACAGGGAAAAAACGCAAGTGAGGGATGCAAGGAATCCATTTAACCGAAGTGAGAAGGAGGGCCCATAGTCTATCCCTGGTTACATGAGGCCAAACAGGGCTGATGTGATTCTACTTCCTGTAGCTGTCACGATCTGTCTGTGTTGTGTTTTGTCTTGTCTTTTTCTGTCTTTGGTTTCATGTTTTATTTTGAAAAGTCTTCACCCCCTGTCTTGCCTGTTGCTGTCTGCCTGTTTCCCCTCCTACCTAATTACCCGATTGTGTTCACCTGGTGCCCCTGTGTTTTATCCTCCCTCCTCACCTGTGTCTTGTTTGTGTGATTAGTCTTGTGTGTATTTAAGTTCTGGTTTTTCTGTCTGTCATTGTTGGTTCATTGTTTGTTGTTGACTGTGTTCACGAGGTAGTGTTCTGTTTTGTTCCTTAAGACCTTGAAATAAAGGTAATTTTTCCTGTTTATTCCGCATTTGGGTCCTTCCTGCTAGTGATGGCGAGATGAAGCCTTATGAAGCTTTCCAGCCAATTGGTTCGCAAAAGGGTTCATCTCATGAGGCTTCATCATGGGCTTCATTTGAACACAAACCCCCTGTTGGTCAAAGTGTGTAAAACAGGCAGATTGGACATCTCAACAGTGTGCTGTATCTCATACCGAGTTCCCATGAGTAAAGCCTTAGAATAACTCTAAACAACGAACATTAAATCATATTTTCATGTTAACAATATTGTATTTATTCCAGTTTAATGATTGTGATTGAAAAGCCTAAGGACGCTGGTAAACATTGCAAAGAGGGATTTGTATTCCTTAATAATATTCCTAAACTTAACCATGTTGTAGCCTGAGAAAGGCTAAACCATATCAAAGAATACATTTATTAACTACATTGTCTCATTTAGCTGTAGCTTTTATAAAAAATTAAAAAAAGACGTATTGACCAGTCGTTGAACCAGGGACCCTGCAGTCGTGAGTCGACTGCTTTCCAGCTGAGCCACAGCACCCACACTAAATTCATCTGAAAACACTGCACGCTATGTATTCCTGTATTTATTCATTTATTTATTCATTGATGTTTTTATTCCTACTTTTATTTATGCTTTTATTTATTTATACTTAAAACATGTTACGACCTCTATATAAGAGGGTCTGAGCTCTCTTAATTCCATCGTGTCACCGGCCCGGGTACAGGAGGGGTAATATGGTTCTTATTATACATCCATGGGTAATATGAGCTTTGTGGTTCAACCGATTTGCTGGAAGCAGATCACTAAAAGGTTCATCTGAGGCTTCATCATGGGCTTCATGTGCACACAAGACCCCCTGTTGGTGAACAGGTGTAAAACAGCCAAATATTATTTGTAATCTTTGACATACTAAAAATACTGGAAATAATTATACAAAAGTGTAAAAGACGTAACATGTATTTGTAATCCTGTATTAACAGAATTTTGCACCAGTAAGTGTTTTAAAATGACTGTATATAATAATAAAAACAATGTATCAATACAGTATCTTGTTGTTATATCTATACATAAATAAATATAAATGTCTGCTACCTTCTATAAAGACAAAAGAAGCAATATATGTTCGAAAACTGGAAAAGAAGAAGGGTTTAACTTTCCAGAGGGCAGTGAATATGCTTGTGTGACTTTGCAGAGGGCAGTGAAAATGCTTGTGATTCATGGAACAATTTTATTGGTTTTTGTTTAAAAACAATATTTTTTCCACAGTTTTCGGGCTTAGGCGATTTATTTTCTTTGACACAACTTCTCCTGCCTTTGAAAAGACCCTTTCACACGGGACTGAGGAAGCAGGTGTGCACAAAAAAGTGACTGCAAGTTTATGCAGGTTTGGATAAACATGTTTTTGTGTCTGCCAGTAGTTCAGAGGGTCCTCCAAGCGTCCGATATTTGGTTCGGCCAGGTACCGCTGGATTTCAACAGTTGCGTCAGCTGTGACATTCTTGGTCTTCCTGGACATCTTCACAGTCTGATCCAATTTATGCCAGAGTTTGTTTCCTGAAAAGTATACACAGAGAGTGTCAGTGGATGTAGTAATTACTTCAAATTGCTTTAAAATTCATACAATTACCTGGGGTTTCTTGTTCAGGTTGAGATGTGGATGGACTTTCTTGGGGCACGGCTTCAGGTGTTCGGATCAGTGCACTATATCACATGCTGCAACGTCTGGTGGACCTCAGAGAACCAGTTGGTGCGGCATTAGCCAGTTTTGAACACATAAATCACCACACTGACCTCTGCTGAGTTCACCACCATAAGTGGGTGCCTCTCTCTGCTGTCTGGATTCAATGATGATGATTCAATCATTGAGCTTTCTGAGGAGAAAAATGTATCTGGTTCCAAGGTTGTGCCCCTCCTCAAAATGCTGGAGCAAATGCTTCATGAGGAGATGGCAAAAACTGCAATAGGTTCAAAGTGATCCAAT